TATAGCAAAAATATAGTAAAAATATAGTAAATTGAACATTAGCGGCTGTTATGTAATAATGTGGCTTGAAATCCTCATTCTTTCTCAACAGTTTATTATTTCTAGCTGTATTGGATATGTTATATTCCATTATGTTAGACTTAAATATCTCCTTAGGTATTACATTATGGAATGCGACAAACTCATCGAACAAATGCTCAAAGATGAGCCAGATCAAGATGTAGATAAATCTTCAGATAAACATAGAGAAAGACTCGCCGCTTTGGTGGCCGGTGGAAAATGTTCTGAATATTTAGGGGAAAATTATACCATTGAAAAAATTGATAACATGACCGACATAGAGATTAAAAAACTGTACGCGCGTTACAAGTCTAGACTTGGAGCTACCATGACTAAAACAATAGGGTCGGCTATGTTACAACTTAACACAGTCGTAGCTAGTACGTTTCTCCCTATCCCGGCATAACATCGCCCGTATTTATGCGAATCTCTCGAGAAAGACCCATTCATCGAACACGCTATAAGCTCAGTGAGCTGTGAGTTTTATCATAGATACGGAATGTTCTTAGCTCCACTCACCACAGCTTTAATAACGGCTAGGTCTTTGTCAATTTAAACATATGTGCCCACTTAATAATAATGGAGATGGAAAAACAACAAGTACAAACCCCGATTGTATCACAACAAGTGAACGAGGAAATACAACATCAAGTGAATGAGGAAATACCACAACATGTGAATGAGGAAATACCAGCGATTGCACAATCACCACAACAAGTCAGAGTGACTAAGAAAACGTCACAAGTTCAAAAATTAGATGAGCTTCAATTAGAGTTAAGCCCTCGTGTAATGTTATAAAAAGCATGACTACTCCAGTTACAGAGGGTAAAATGTTGGTAAACGCAACATATCATTCAACGGTGGTCAGCGGCTTGGCCATTGGCTATGCCCGTATAGCTAAAATGATTACTAAAGCCACACCACCAAAGCTAGATTTTAATGGTTACGATATCGGTATGATGATTCTTGATATAGGATTAGCAATGGCAACAAAGGATATGCTCATCAAACAAGGGCTTATCCCAGAAGACATAATGAAGTAATTAAACATTTGAATATTTTATAAACATAGTATTATTGAACACAGTTCGAAACATCATGGCATCAATTGTGATGATGGTCGGTGGAGCTATTGTTAATGCTCTAGCTTTTTCGGGGAGTAATTATTTATTTTCTACTCTGAGGGAATCAAATGCTAAACAAGTTGGAGAGGAGCGTAAACGACATAATAAAGCATTAGAACAACTCGAAGCAGCCCAATCACAATGGGCCAGGCGTAGAATGGAGAGATTAGATTTTATTAATGATGAACTGCGTAAACAAGGACACTCAATTCAAACTTTTAAGGATGCTGAATCTGCCATGCACGAATACTTCCTCGTTTATGGAAAGACACTTGACCCAGTGCCGAGGCCAACACTCTCTCAGTTTTATACACCGTCAGAGGCTCAGAAGGACCATGAGATAGCATTTATAGTGTTGGGGTTGTCTGCAGTTGCTATTTATAGCTACACAATTATGCACAAGCTATAAATAGATCTGGCTGGTTGAGCGACTCGATATGTGCTTTTCATTTAGACAGATGATATGATAGGTGTATAATCATGAATCTGTGCAGATATACACTCATGGGGAAGCCAATTCAATGTCAGAAACCATGCGTTGGTGTATATTGCGGTACTCACGCTTTTGACATCAGACAAAGAAATGTAAATTATACGTGTTCCGTATGCGGGATAGGTGTCAGATGTCGTTATTGTTTATGTAAGAAACACGGCGCTGATAGGGTTAGGAAGCAGATTATTTACGCTAGGAAGAAAGATTACACCAACGAGAGGAATAGGTTGGGGAGAATAAGATATATGGAAATATAACCATTTAGACAAAAGTCTTATTTTGTTTATATACCACAATGGTTTTCATCAGAGAGTTGAAAGCTTTGGCAAAACAACGTGGTCTACATGGTTATTCTCGAATGAGAAAAGCTGAATTGATCGATTTACTCGGTTTGGAATACAACAAACCCCAGACTGTTAGAGAACTCAAAGCTCGAGTGAAAAAAAGTGGGCTGAGGGGTTATTCTTGAATGAGAAAAGCTGAATTGATCGCTTTACTAGATAAAAATCAACCAGATGATGTCGATAAAAATCAACCAGTTGATGAGTAAAAATTTGTACCTACAGACGGTGTGGGTAAATATCTAAGAGGTTGGAAGATGGATATTAATTCCAACATGGATGTTAATGATGTTAAGCCCATCGTATCAAGCAAAATTAACGAGGAGTTAGATGATTTAAATCGTATAAAATACCAGATGACGATTAAAATGTCATTGAGTAAAAGTAGCGCAGACGATAGCACTGAATATACCAAACCATATTTCCGTAGCAATCAAGAAGTTATAACCGAATCCGATACTATAAACGCATCATTAGATACATCAATTCAGAGGATACAGGAAACTTTAGAACGTTGGACTAATAGAGGTTCGGGTTGGGGTGTGGATAAAATCAATAGTTTATATTTAGATATAGCAAATTATATGCCCTTCAAAGGTGGATCTTATATAGATTTACCCCCGTATTATAAGAAGAAAAAAGCCATAATAAATGTAAAAAATAAATCCGATGACTGTTTCAGAATGATGATAAGGTCTGCATTGTTCCCTGTAGACAAAAATCCAGATAGACCTTCTAGCTATCCCCAAAACGATGGACTAAACCTCGATGGTTTAGACAACCTACACCAATCTCACAAATTGATAAGGTGGAAAAGCAAAATAATTTAGCTATAAATGTTTTCGGACATTCTTCTGAAGGAATTGTTTTACACAGGATAAGCTCCGTTCCGGAACATATTCCCAGAATCAATTCATTTCTGATCGAAAAAGATGGTAAATATCATTATACGTGGATAAAGAGTTTAAGCAGACTGAGGAGAAGAAACCCCTCAAATGAAAACTAACTGAAAACGGAAATTCAACCCTTTTAATAAACCCACAAGATATTTACAATAAACACATTATGTACAAATTGAACTTCCCTGGTATGGAAGTATGCACATGGAAGTGTAGCCCTAACTTCCCTGGTATGGAAGTATGCACATGGAAGAATAGCCCAAGTAGGGCGCTGAAAACACGCAATGATGCGATGCGTCCTGCTCCTATCAGCCCTAAATCTCATCTGCCACGTTCAAGGAATCACGTGTTACATTCAACCTGCCAAGGAGACATTTGAATTCTGCGAAGTAGGTTACGTTCGGTCGATTCCGCGTAGCTGGCGCGTTCGAAAGATGTCCCGGTAACCTGTCCGAGAACACCTTCTGAACATACCCCCCTCCTTGGCAGTTTACTGGCAACTATATATCTGTTTACTGGCAAAGAATACAACTGTAACTGAATAACTGAAATACATGGCAATGTAAGTATGAGCATGAACAATATACATACTTACCAACACACACTGAATTACATGGCAATGTAAGTATGAGCATGAACAATATACATACTTACCAACACACACTGAAATACATGGCAATGTAAGTATGATAATGGACAATATACATACTTACCAACTCACACTGAAGCATAATCCGACAATATGAATCCATGACATCTGTCACAAATTAACTGTCAATTATTTCACATGTTAACCTCACTAGTGTTACATGTCAAAATTCAATCAACTCATTTCTGTCCAAAATGCAGATTGAGTGCAACTGTCACATCAGTTTATTGTACTGTCACTTTGTCTTTGTACACAAATAGTCCATTGTCCACAAAGTATCCAGATGTCCACCTACTGTCCACTGACTGTCCACAGATTGTCCACAGACTGTCCACAGACTGTAAGTCAGTCTTTCCTCTGTATGTCCACAAATGTCCACACAATTTCATGAAATGTCCTTGGGAAGGATAGAGGTTCATCCACATCATGCTGTCACTATGCCGTCCATTCCAGTGGGCATATCTTCGTCACTGGACGGGTTAAAGTTGAATTGGCGACTCTGACATCTACCACTCTCACATGTCCATCCGGTCCTGGGTACACACGCTCCACGATTCAGAGCGGCCATTGTCCTCTTGGTGTTTCTGGCGACACCAACACAACGACGTCGTCAACACTCACATCCTTCGAGGGTCTGTTCCACTTCCTCCTTGTGTTTAGAGCTGGCAACCATTCCCTCATCCATCAATGCCAGAAATGTCTCATCAGCTCTTGTAGCCTTCTCCAGCGCTTTCGAGGATGATAGTCTGTTGTGTCCACTGACTCTGGGGCGAATACTCCTCCAACTTGCCCATGGAGAAAATGGTTTGGCGTGAGTGGATTATCGTCCTGTGGATGACAAGTCTGGTAAGTAAGTGGTCTGGAATTTATCAATGCCTCGGCTCCAGTAAATGCTGTTTGAAGTTCTTCATCCGTGACGTCACTCTTGCTCAGAATAGCGAATATTGCTTTCTTTGCAGCCTTTATCAGAATCTCAAATACTCCGCCAAAGTGAGGTGCAGATGGGGGATTAAAATGCCACTTGATTTACTCGGTTTGCTGTAGATCTTTGAATGGCATCTTTATCCAACTTGCCAAGTAGATCCTTGAGCTCCCTCACTGCGCCGACAAAGTTGGTACCATTGTCAGAAAGAACCTCAGTTGGAAGTCCTCTTCTGTTGGTCATCCTGAAGAATGCATTGAGAAATGCATCAGTGTCCAGACTGTAAGCCATTTCCAAATGTACTGCTCTGGTGCCCAAACAAGTGAAAAGGCACAGATAACGCTTGAGTCTGACCTTACCTCGGCCTTGAATTGTGGAGAACGGACCAGCGTAGTCCACTGCAGTCATACTGAATGCTCGAAACGAAGCTTGGAGTCGGATCTTCGGTAACGTGCCATCACTTGTTGAACTGGTTTTGCTTTACTTCTGTGACAAGTAGAACATTCTTTCTCCTATTCTCTAATAGCTTCTCTTGCAGAGACAATCCAGTACTTTGACGAAAGGACAGCTAAGGTTCGATTCGTTCCAGATACATGATGGCCTTCTTCGTGAGCATGTTTGATGACCAACTTTGTTATCCAGTTCCTACCAGGTAGAATGATTGGAAATCGGGCAGCAAAAGGTAAGCATTCTGCATCTCTCAAGCGTCCACTTAGTCTCATGACTCCAGTTTCATCAATTTGTGGATGTAAAGCTTGAAGCTTTGAGCTGTTTGGCATTGGCTTGCCAGATGACAAGGCTGAATATTCCCCAGGGAATGCTTCTTGTTGAGCCTGAGCAACTAGTTTAATCTCTGCATCATTTAGCTCCTCTCGGCTAAGTTCCCCAATCATTCTGAGATCTGCTGGATTCGAGCAGTTGTAGAGGAATCTATTAACCCAGGCACATGTGCGAGTAAGCTTTTTCCAACATGAAAACCTTGTTGGCTCAAGTCTCCACTCGGGATCAGCGTTTGCCATGACAGTATAGGCAACAATTGTCTTTCTGCTTTTCTTTTCCTGATCATCTGTCTCATAAAATGATAGACTCTTATCAAAAGGCCATTCTTCTTCATCCTACAGGAGAAAAGTTTGACCCAACCACCACAGCTGGTTACCCACGAGTTGCGATGCTGGTAAACCCCTTGTTAACAGATCTGCAGGGTTCTGGGATGATGGAACATACCTCCACTGACTCGGATTTGTAGAAGAATGGATTTCACCAACCCTGTTAGCAACAAATGGTTTGAAAGTACGGCTGTTATTTCTGATCCAACATAGAACATTCATGCTGTCAGACCAGAAGATAACACTATCCATTTCTATTTGCAAGACTTTCACAATGCCCGAGATAAGTCTCAGACCAAGGACAGCAGCCATTAGCTCAAGCCTAGGAATGCTGCATGCTTTGAGGGGAGATACGCGGTTCTTTGCAGCAACCAACCAACTGGACCTGTCACCATTTTGATAAGTATACACTGCAAATACAGATGTGCCATATGCATCTTCTGATGCATCTACAAAGGTATGTATGCAAGTAGTTTGTGCACCTGAACTGGTGTGCAAACATCTTGGAATTTCTAGTGTTTCTATGTCTTTCCATTGACCTAACCATTCAGTGATTTTGTCTTGCAGGTGCTCTGGTAGATTGTCATCCCAGTCATGTCCAGTCAACCACAGGTTCTGCAGCAATATCTTTGCTGTGACGATGAAAGGACCTAGGAAACCATGAGGATCAAACAATCTAGCAACCTGTCTAAGGAAACCTCTTTTTGTTGTTTCAGCTGTGGGTAATGGCTCTGCTTTAAATCTGAAGATATCGTCTTCTGGTACCCACATTAGCCCAAGAGCTTTGACAGATGGAAGGCTGCCTTCCCTGATATCAATTTTGGATGCATGATCACTTTGCGGAATGTGTGCAAGTACTTTTAATGAATTGGAAAGCCATTTCCTGGGATGCATCGAAGCCTTGGACCAAAGTTGCTTTAACTGGCAGTATAGATCTAAGCCATCGTCATCAGTTTCAACTGAGTCCATACTGTCGTCCATGTAAGTGGACTTCATGACAGTTTCAGCAGCTTTAGGCAATTCTGCTTCATGCTTCTTTGCGTTCTCTTGGCTAACAAATTGGGCCAGAAATGGAGAGGCTGTATTTCCAAAGACCAATCGATTGAACTCGTATACGTCTGGTGGGACATCTGGAGACATTGATCGCCAAAGAAATCTATGAAAGGGCCTATCTCTGGGATCCATTTCTACTTGGAGGAACATCTCTGCGATGTCACAGATGATTGCTACAGGACTTTTTCGAAATCGCAACAAAACATCAAAGAGTTCAGTTTGGAGCTTTGGACCTGGGTCTATTGCATCATTTAATGATGCATTTCCATACTTTGCCAAAGCATCGAAAACAATGCGCACTTTCGTTGTGGATTTATCTGGACGCATAACAGGAAAATGTGGAAGATACCAAACATCAGTTGATTTATGTTCAACTGTTACCTTGTTAATGTAACCCTTTTCCAAGTACTGAGAAAGTGTACTGTCATAATCTTGTGCAACAGTTGGGTCTTTTGACAGTTTCTTTTCAGTACTAACCAGCCTGCGATAAGCCATATCATAGTTGTTCGATAAGCTTGGAGCCTCCTCCTTCCATGGAATACCAACCTGGTATCTACCGTGATGATATACCAAGGATTCCTCTGCTTTGCAAAGGGCTCTCTTGTCACATGGTTTGATAATCTGAGAAGTATTCTTAACCTCCTCAACATCCCAAAAGGATTTCACCAAGTCTGACAATTCTGAATTAGGGCTGTGTGTGTAGTATGTTAAAGCACAATATGATGGCTGTCCATCATCGTGACCTACATTGCCAATACACGTCCACCCAAGAGGAGTCCTGCGAGCTATAGGCTCTCCCGGTCTGCCACAAACATCTTGGTATGATTGGTGCAACTGTAAATAATCTATGCCAATCAGAAGATCGACCACTGGATGTCTGGCAATAGTTGGAAACCTGATGCCTCGCAGATGATTCCACTTATTTCTGTGTTTCTGCCAGTCTATCACTTTCAAATCACCTGTAACCCTGTTTATGGTGAGAGCAGACATCTGGATATTTACTTTGCCATCCAAACTCTCAACACCGAATTCTACAGGCTTAGTTACAAAGGTGTCTGTTTTCCCATTTAGTACACTGACAGATACATGTTGTTGTGTTCCTTGCAAGCCTAACTCAGCAGCTACATCATCATTGATGTATGACCTGCTGCTTGCATCATCAAGTAATGCATTTACACACATACTTCTCTTGCCATATCTAAGAACAACTGGGACTGTTCTGAGTGCTGTTAATGAAGTCTCAGGGACTGGTACTGTAGTGTGTGCCCTCTCTTTTGTTACTGATTGAGAATAGGACTCTGATGAAGCATTTCCTGAAGCCTCAGGGATCAAATCTTCATCAGTGCTAGGCTTAGATGTTTTGTTTCTAAGTTGTGACCTATTTACCGTGGTGTCATGCAGCAATCTGTTGTGAGTCCTTTTACAACCGTCAATCCCACATTGCTTTATGAACTTGCACTGTGAGCCCAAGTGAAATTGACCTAAACATCGGAAACACAGTTTGTGTTGCTTTGCAAAGTTCCATCTTTCATCACCACTCAGGCCCTTAAACACTTTGCATGCCCACAGCGCATGTTGGTTTCCAAAACAAACACATCCACTGGCTGTATTACTAACAAGAGTTACTGATTTACTTTGCCCAGACTTTTTTCCCAAAAGACCATGGACGGTCTCCGAGGCAATCGTTTGATACTCTGCCTCTTGAAGAACCCATTCCCTAAGAGTCACGACAGACTCCTGCATATCCCTTTCCTTAATCCACCTGTTAAACTGTGCAATCATGGGTTCTGTCATTTTTTTTAGCAATGTTGCATACAACAAACCATTGCCAAGCTCTTCGATCCTGTCAGCTTCCTTTAAGTTAGCTACAGCAATGTCAAGAACGTCAGCAAAGTTCTCAACGTCTTTGGCACAGCCTTGACGAATAGGCTTCAGGTTAGTCACTTGTTCCAGCTGCAAAGCTACCTGGCACCTTTTTGCCACCATACTTTCGTTCCAGGCGTTCTAACGCAATGCCATATGAAACAGCACTATGACCTAACCCCTGAATGACCTTTAATGATGCACCTGATAAATATTGCCTTAACTGTAGTAATTTATACTCTGCAGTTGACGGAGCCTGGTCTACACAAGTGAGAAAGGCAGCTTTCCAGCTTTCATACTGTACCATATCACCCGAAAATACTGGTATCGAAACACGCTTAAGTTGTTTTGACATATCTGTGCCAATAGCATGAAAATGGGAATTGGAAGGGTTCGACAAGTCTGACATTTGAACAGGATCTATATTTACAGGTCTACCCTTAGCTGCATGGGCTTTCACGTCTATCCACATTTCTGGTCTGAAACGGACCCTCAGTTTCAACAAGTTTAACTTCAGTTTAACTTTTTACTAGTTTGTTCAGGACTCTGCTTAAACACCCTAGAGAGTCTATGACTAGATAATGTAGAAACATCTGTCCTGCTGTCAAGATAATCCTGTGCATAGGCAACGACTTCACTAGATTCTTCCTCAATCAGGCACATCTCCTGCTCAGTCTTAACTACATTGGCAGCTTGTTTTGACTTTGAATAGGCTAGCGTCAGGTCTGTCATGATATCTGTGGCTTTTGCCTGAACTGAGACAACCTGTGAAATACCATCCCTAACCTGCCTACGTAAGGGTTCATCTTCACCATCTATCAAGCCATACAACTTGTTCTTTGCTTTTGTAAATGTGGACTTAACATTTTTTTTTTGCCGTTTAAGATGCAAAATCTTTTCAGTCCAATCCACGTCTGTTGGATTGACATCAGGTTCATCGGACTTCACAACACTGATTTCAGTGGGTTTCTTGACTGGCTCAGCCATTCTTGTTGAGCACGCTTAATCAAGTACTTAGAAACGGTGTAACATTTACATTTCTATACAAATGCTCACAAAATACACTCACGGGAAACTGAAAACTAGCAAAACACATCCTAATAGTCATTTCTGTGTTATGAATCTATCTTGCATTCATAATGACATGATGCAACTATGTCTGAGAAACCACGCTCTGCTACCATAAAATGAGGAGAAGAAACCCCTTAAATGAAAACTAACTGAAAACGGAAATTCAACCCTTTTAATAAACCCACAAGATATTTACAATAAACACATTATGTACAAATTGAACTTCCCTGGTATGGAAGTATGCACATGGAAGTGTAGCCCTAACTTCCCTGGTATGGAAGTATGCACATGGAAGAATAGCCCAAGTAGGGCGCTGAAAACACGCAAGCTATGAGTAGGAGCATCTCGCGATGCGTCCTGCTCCTATCAGCCCTAAATCTCATCTGCCACGTTCAAGGAATCACATGTTACATTCAACCTGCCAAGGAGACATTCGAATTCTGCGAAGTAGGTTACGTTCGGTCGATTCTGTGAAAGATGCCTACATGGGTACAGCAGACAAGATCTATCAGAAGCGCATAAAGAAGACTGTAGAGGTGTTGGACAGACTGCTATCAGGATTGATATGCCTAAAGAGGGGAAAAATATATTAAAATTTGAACATTATTGTAATCAAATGCCAGTACCGTACGTAATTTACGCCGACTTCCAAGCACTTATCAAACCTATAGAAAATTACGAACGCAATAATCAAGATAATCAAGATAGTTTTACATACAAAACTCAAGAACATATTCCTTGTGGGTTTGGATATATAGTTGTAAGGTATGATTGGAAAACAAACCCGCCCGTGATTTACAGAGATCCCGATGCAGCAGGAAAGTTCCTAGAATATCTACAAAATGAAGAGAGAATAATCAGGGAAAATTTATCGTGTAAGAAACCAATGTGTATGATGAGGGATGATTGGAGGGCCTATAAGAAGTCAACGAGTTGTCATGTTTGTGATATACCCCTGAATGGGGATGGGGAGCCGCGCATAACGAGTGTAACTTGAAACTAAAAATGAATTCTCAAACAATACCCATCCCCGTTGTGTTTCATAACCTTAGAGGATATGATTCACATCTCATTATGCAAGCTATCTCAAAGACTGATGACGGTTTAACATGCATTCCTAATAATATGGAAAAATACATATCGTTCTCGTTGACTAAAACTATACATTATACGGACAAGGATGGGAAAGCCAGAATAAAGCAAAGTAATGGGCTTAGATTCATAGACTCCGTACAGTTTCTGTTATCTTCCCTGGACAATTTAGCTAATGCGAACAATCCCGATGACTTTGCGATAACAAATCAATATACCAATCGTTTAACTCGTCATTTGTTGCTGAAAAAAGGTGTATATCCTTACGAATATATGGATGATTGGTATAGATTCGAGGAAACTTAATTACCATCCCTTGAATCATTCTATAGTAACTTAACAGAATCTAAAATAACAGATGCCGATTATGAACACGCTCTGATGGTTTGGGATAAATTAGGTTGTAAGAATTTAGGTGATTATCACGATCTGTACTTATAAACCGATGTACTGTTACTCGCCGATATATTCGAGATATTTAGAAAGACATATTCAAAACATTACGGCTTTGGACCCTGCATGGTACTATTCCAGTCCCGGACTATCGTGGGATACATTGTTGAAGAAGACCGGTGTAGAACTAAAAATACTCACCGATTACGATATGCACTTGTTTATTGAGAAAGGATTAAGAGGTGGTTTATCAATGGTAGCGAAAAGGTATTCTAAGGCTAATAATAAATTAGTGGAAGGATATGATCCGAGTAAACCCGACACGCATATATTATATCTCGAGGCCAACAATTTGTACGGATGGGCTATGAGTCAACCTTTACCTGAGGGAGGTTTTGAGTGGGTCGATGATATCAATGTGAATGATATCCATAATATCAATGTGAATGATGTGAATAAAGGATACATACTAGAAGTTGACTTGGAATATCCAAATTTATTACATAAAGATCATAACAGTTATCCGCTAGCTCCCGAAAGATTAATGGTTATTAAAGATTGGATATCGGAATATCAACACTCCTTGATGGGTAATACTAGGTTAGCTAACGTAGAAAAACTCGTACCAAATTTGATGGCTAAGACAAAATATATAGTTCACTACAGAAATCTCCAGTTATATCTATCATTAGGTATGAAACTAAAGAAAATACACAGAGTTCTAAAGTTTGATCAAAGCCCTTGGATGGAACCCTATATAAGGCTGAACACAGATTTAAGAAAGATAGCTACCAGCGATTTCGAAAAGAATCTATATAAGCTCATGAATAACTCAGTATTTGGTAAAACTATGGAGAATCTAAGTAAGCGTGTTGATGTTAAATTAGTCAGATCTAATGAGGAAGAAAGACTCAGGAAACTTATAGCCAGTCCGGCTTTAATTTTAACAGAAGCAAGATAACACCTTAGCCACGTTGCATATGCAGAAGAGTAATATAAAATTCAACAGACCGGTGTACGTCGGTATTAGTATTCTCGACTTGTCAAAACACTTAATGTATGACTTTTATTACAACGAACTTAAGAAGCAATACGGCGATAGATGTGAGGTGTTATATACCGACACAGAATCTTTGTTGATGGAAATACAAAGCGAGGATGTGTATAAAGATATGGCAGAAAAAATAGATATGTACGACACGAGCGATTACCCAAAAGATAATCCACTGCACAGCATAGTAAATAAAAAGGTGTTAGGTAAGATGAAGGATGAATGTGCTGGGACCCCTATAGCGGAGTATGTGGGATTAAGACCTAAGATGTATTCTATAAAGAAGTCCATTAATGGAGAGATAAGAAAAGCTAATATAAGGGTGTTAAGAAGTATGTGGTAAAAAAGCATATCAAACACGAACAATATAAAGAATCATTATTCAACAGTAGAACGTTCAAACACGAGATGAACTCTTTAAGAAGTTACAATCATAGGATATATGGATTAAGAATGAACAAGACATCATTATCCCCCTTAGATACAAAGAGATGGATTGATAAGGATGGTGTAACTACCTATGATTATGGTTACTTAGGGCGGTAATACTGTATAGTTGGGAACTATGAACAACTCTTCTCGTACAAATGCCCTGCCCGGCCCATCTTTAAGATAATAAAGAATAGGCTCTCATTCTTTCATAACCAATCGACTAATGTTATATGTCTTAAGAGACCAAATCGGATCGGTTGCGCGACGTAGGCCTCCTTCAAGTTCACCGGGCTGATAAAAATATCTTACGCTAACTCTAACCGGAAGTTTTTGTTCTTTGCCTCTCCTCGGTGCTGAAGATTCGGAAGTCACAGATTTCATTTTAATCGCATCGGATGGTTTCTTCCCGATTAATCTCGTTACTTCATTATTCAGCGCTGATACAACAGCTGATAATCGTGTCACCCATTCGGTTGATCTCAATCGTTCCGATTTCATTTCAATCCCATATTGATAGCCAAACAAACGTTCCGCTAATGTCCTGTTAAATCTTTCAACGATAGCTTGACTGCGGTGGGCCTCTCTTTCACCACGCCTGATTTCGACATCGTGGTTTGTTAACAGTTTAGTTACCGATCCCATAAACTCGCGACCAGAATCTACTTGAAATAGCTTAAGCCATTTTAGTGGTCCGCGTTTATATATGCGGCTCAATGCATTAGCTACTTCTGTTGAATCTTTCAAAGTTAATGGCTCAGCCTCTTTGTATCGACTAGCCACATCCACATCCAAAATATATCGCTCAAAATAGACAACATCAACACAACACTGCAGAGCGCTATCGATAAGATTGAAATAGAAGTATCCAACCTGAAAACAAGAGTAGATGTTGTCGAAAGAAGTACAGAACATTACAGCAGGACGTGGAGCATGTGAGCGAAGAGCTCAATACTTTGAGAGCAGACTTTACGCTCAAGATAGGTATGCTCCGTCGTGAGGCCATAAAAAAAGAGCTGCATGATAGAAAAATAAACTTACTGTTTAACAGAATACAAAAAAATCATCAACGAGAAGACAGTGAAAC